AGTGACTGAAAATGTGTGTAGTGGAGGGAAAGGCAGACTATTTTAATTAATAAACTTTATATAAGTTTTATTAAATTATAAAAAAGGATTTGGTATAGCCATTTTTGAAAGTGGCAATACCACTTTTGAGATCTTCAACAAGTAAGAGGACCTGTAAAGGGTTCCAGGATGTGCTGGGTGCTGACAGGACACGTCTAGGAGATCCAAGGTTATTCCTCCAGAGTGTGCACCTTGTAGGAGTTCAAGATGCTAAAGATCCAGGAACCCGGCTCTTTTGAGAACTATACTCAGGCCTAGGCTACAAGGACATGTTTGTGTTTGAGAGGCATTAAAAGAGTAATGGAAAGACCACTAGGCTTTGTGTAGAATCCCCCCACTTAACCACTTATGAGATCTATAAGCTTGAGAAAGTTAACTGACTTCTGAGCATCAGTTTATTAATCTTTAAAATAGACACAAGGCCTGGTGCAGTGGCTCACGCCTGTAATCCCAGCACTTTAGGAAGCGGAGGCGGGCGGATCACGGTGAGGTCAGGAGTTTGAGACCAGCCTGGCCAACATGGCAGAACCCCATCTCTACTAAAAATATAAAAATTAGCTGGACCTGTGGGTTCATGCCTGGAATCACAGCTACTCAGGAGGCTGAGGTATGAGAATTGCTTGAACCAGGAGGCGGAGGTTGCAGTGAGCCGAGATTGTGCCACTTCACTCCAGCTTGGATGATGGAGTAAGACTCCGTCTCAAAAAGATAGAAGAGAAAATAGATACAATAATATCTACCTCATAAAGTTGTGATAAGTGTTAAACACCACCATTAACACATAGTAAGGGCTCAATAAATATTCCCCTTTCCCAGTGTAACCTCATCTTTTTCAAGAGTAGAAATAGTTCGCCTGGTAAACCCAGAAATAGTAAACCAACAAAAGCATAGTCAGGGACAAAAATGATTCAAAGTGTGTCTGAATCTACTATCACTCTAAACAACACTTCTCTTCAAAACTTTTGACGTAAAACTATCCCTTATAAATACATGATGTCTCCTCTCTATAGAGAAGAGATGTCCTACTTCAGAGAAATGATGCCCTCCTACCACAGAGAAGAGCTTTTAGACGATGTAGGTGTTGTCTTGAGGAATGTAAATAAATAGAGACACATCCTAGAGTAGCTAATTCCATGACTGCACTTCCCAGCAAGACCAGCTTGTTAACTATAAGGGGAGACACACACAAAATATCACTAGCTCTTGAGACTTTGCTCCCCTGACTGTCTTGCATTGTTCTGTTAGATATCTGTTTGGCAGGTAAGATTTTGTCATTCGCACATTACCCAGAATTCATTCATGGAGCTGGCTTACTTTCCCTCCTAACACCTAAATAAAAATTGGTGCACTAAGTGCAGGACTTGAGCGGGGAAGAGGAGAGAAGGTAGTAAAACACCCAAGGAGAGGAAGAGGCTGTATACACAGCCAGTGTTGTTGTATCAATGGGAGTAGAGTTAGTGTAGGCTCAGATAAGACTCTGGGAGATGAGATCAAGTGCACCTAGTGTTTAGATAATCGCTTCCTTCATCAGCACTTGTTTGACTTTTGCTCCTAGAACCTATATCATTAGCAGAACAGCTATTCTATCAATTACTTATAAATAAGGTAAACTTTTTGGACTAGACGGATCCTGCCTACCCTTGGAAATATTACTGTATATAAGTAAGTGTATTTCTAATAACAAACAGCCAACTAGGATATGAATTTGTAAAACCAAGCCTGGTCTTCAACTGTCATTTGCAGAATATCTAAAACTCCTAACAGCTTGATACGTTCAAATTCCAGATGACCAAAATGAGCCCCTTGTGTTTACCATGCACATGTTTTGTTACAATTGAATGTCAAGTGTTTAAATCCATTCAAATGAAGATCAGAAAACACATAATTCAGTAAAATTAATTTGATTGGAAATAAAACAAAATGTTTGTTTATTTATTTATATGTGATAAAGCACTTATCTTTGTGTGACTAGGCTTTTATGTGAGCAAGCAGGAAAAAGACAGACATAACCAAAGTCTTTTATTAATTCCTATAAGTTGTGGATGCTGCTGTGTTAAATAATGCACATTGCAAATCAGAATTAAATGCCTAACCCCAGATTGAGTTCCAGGAAGACTGAAAGTTAAATATTTTAAAAACCAAACAAGTAAACATAGAAAGAAAAATGAATTTAAGATGTATCAAACTTGTGAGGGGAGAGGGAAATTAAAACATATAAACTTATGAAGAAATCACCTAATAAAAAAGGTGTGCAGACATTGTTACAAAAATGCAAAATACCGGTACATGTTTAATGCGATAATGTAAGGCAAACAAACCAGAAAAACAGTTATAGCAAATATTTTATACATAGACAAAGGATAATTATCTTTATTATGTAAAAATACTCAACATGTACACACACACACACGTACGCGCCTAGACCCTTAAACGATTAGGATTGAATAGATACTTGGAGAAAATACAATTAGAAAAAATAATCAACATCATTAGATGTTAAGTAAATACAAAACAAAACGAAATATATACTATTTACTCATCACATTAGCAAATTTTGCTTGTTTTCACAATCTTTTTATGATAATACTCTGCTCCTGGGGGTAGAGGAAATAAAGCCTCATTCACTAGCCAAGCATTAAGCTACCCAGCCAACCCACGCAGAAAGCAATTTCGTAACATGGATTAAGGTAGTCGTATCCTCTGAGTCGTATCCTTTCTCTAAAACTACAATTTTAAAAAAAATCCCAAATGTAAAATAGCCTTCATCGTGATATTCTTCATAAAAGTGAAAAATGCCAAACGACCTAAATGTTCAACAACAGAGCGAGGACTAAGTAAAGCTTGATACAGTAAATGAATCTGGTATCAGGAGACCTAAAAGTGATGTTTATGGTGACCGTATATGGAAAAGTATATTCTGTATGATTTCCACGTGTTTAACTATGTTTTGGAACATCCTGCAAAGAGACACACAAAGTAGTTGCCTTTGCTCTGCAGGAGAAGAGGAAACACATAAAAGGGTTAAGAACCTGGGATCTGGCCGAGCGCGGTGGCTCAAGCCTGTAATCCCAGCACTTTGGGAGGCCGAGACGGGCAGATCACGAGGTCAGGAGATCGAGACCATCCTGGCTAACACGGTGAAACCCCGTCTCTACTAAAAAATGCAAAAAACTAGCCGGGCGAGGTGGCGGGCGCCTGTAATCCCAGCTACTGGGGAGGCTGAGGCAGGAGAATGGCGTGAACCCGGGAGGCGGAGCTTGCAGTGAGCCGAGATCGCGCCACTGCACTCCAGCCTGGGAGACAGAGACCCCGTCTAAAAAAAAAAAAAAAAAAAGAACCTGGGATCTGAGTCCAAACTGTTTTTAAATCCTAGCTCTGCCACTTGAGTATATTTGACTTTGAGCAAGTTTTCAGTTCATTGTGATTAGGTTTCTCCCTCAGTAAGTTTGTGGTAAAATAGTACCCTACTCCTGGGGTTGTTGAAAGGATTAAATTTGCTGCTAACCCAGGTAACGCCCAGCATATAGCAAGAGCTCAGTAAACGTTAGTTATTTGCTATTTACTTCAGTGATACAACCAATATGTGCAGGCTTTTGTCCCACCTTTCTGCGTTTTCCAGTTCAACTTTTCTCTCTTAACCATGTTACTGTTATATTGGAAAAAAGCAGTAAGTATTTACCTGAAGGCCCTGAGAGCTGGGTCAGCTGGATTTTTTTTAGCCACATAGATTAAGATTCTTATTAGAATACCACAGTTTAGAGACAAAGAATGGATACTTTATAGTTGCCGAGACCCAAGAATTGAAATTGGAGTTGCAGTGACAATTCAAATGAACTTTGTGTCCCATTTCATAAGAAGTTAAGACAGTTCAGTTTCCGTAAAAGAGTGCTTGCCTCCTCTGGAAAAGCTGTGGCAACCCAGTATTATTCCTGCTTCCCCCCACCACCCCACTACCCCCAGCCTTTAGCTCCTAGTTAACCCAGTGCTGGGCATGCTGCTTTCTCTATAACTTACATGAACCTTTTTCAAGAATGGAATCACATGTTTCAGTAACAACAGCAAGGCAAAAACTTTACAAACATTTACAACACTGGCGTAAGTAAATTTTCTTTGGCAAGGAAAGTAAATTAGGGAAAGGGGAGAGGGAGTAAATTTACACTTTTGACACCAATACCTTTATTAATTTCTGAACATTTCAGTAGTTATCATGCATAATTTGATTTAAATGTAAATTTCTCATTCTAAAAATATTTTAAAGTTTCAGTTATAGAGGGAAAATTAAGGGGAAAATTGCTTTCTCTTTCCCTTATATTCTCCCACATTTTCAGGGAAAATTTTGGGGAGAAAATCTCTGCTCATTTTGGAGTCTTCTCTTGCCAGCAACTAACAAGTCGGTACAATACAGTTACCAAGGCAATGTCAAGACCATGTAGACAGAGGGAGAAAATGTGGTGTGAAGACAGGGAGATGATGAAAATGGACTAACAATGTAAACATGAGGGGTTTTTCTAACTGGAAAAAAAATAAAATCACTCTATCCTTTAAAAGTGGTTATGTTAGCAATTCTAACATCTGTTGTTATAAAGGAACTTAATTAAAATAAAGCCTTTTTTTTCTATATCACCTGTTCACGAATGCTTATTTGTTTCCTAATTATGCCCCAATCTTTGTAACTCCGTACTAAGCCAGATCAGAATGAGTTCCACCGCATTCAAGTTAGACAAAGGGATTTTTTTACTTGTTGAAACTAGAAAGAGTTTTTTTTCTGTAAGTTCTATTGGATTTAGCCAGACCCTCACAGATAATGACTGCAAAGATAGATACATCTCTTGCTCCCAAAGCAGCACAGATATCTGCTGCTTAAATAAATATGACCACCAGCCAAATACTCATTTTGCTAGGGCTGTTCCTTCTGTTTCAAAAAAGACTCAATTTTTCTGGTTTTTTTCTCCCCCCTTCAGGTACAATCCTTGGATTTACCCTCCGACCATACAGAATGAGCTACCGGGAAGTCAAGTACTTCTCCTTTCCTGGGGAACTTCTGATGAGGATGTTACAGATGCTGGTCTTACCACTTATCATCTCCAGTCTTGTCACAGGTATCATAAGCAGTTGTTGGTTTGTTTGGTTTTTTTTAAGTGTGCTTATTGCAAAAGATTGCTTAGAAAAGCCAATGCTTTAGGTTTCTGCTGGATGCATGCTCTGTTCTAGAAAAAAAAAATGATGGAAAGGAGGCTTTAGTAATGCATGAATGATTATAACTCTCGTATTTTACCAATCACAAGAGGAAACGAATTTAAACAGCCACGTAATCTGGTTCGCCTCACCATGAACGAGGTGCTCTGCTAAACACCACACCATCAGCCTTCTCTGACCACAGTGATGTAGTTGACAACAGCGTACAACAGGTCTGTTTTCTCACCCTCTTATCCCACCCAGATAACATCTGGTTGGACAGCCTATTAGCTATTGATGCAAGAATGCTTGTTCTCAGAACCACCAGGACTTGAGCGGGAGCCTTCTTGGAAGCCTCATCAAGAGGTAATGCCCACAACACTCACCAACTCTGCTGCCACCAACACTTATCTTTTCCTGGTGTACCCGCATGATTTCATTTCCTTCTCCAGTTGCCTCCCACCCCCATTACCTTTTATGCTGGTGGGAGAAGGGGGAGGGGGCGGGAGATTTCCCCATCTGAATATTTTATCAGTGGACACTTGGACTTTGAACAAGTGGAAGCTTTGCAGGATAGGATTCCATTTTCTATGACAATGAGATAACCATTTATTCCTGCATGGGAAAAGGTGAAAAAGTCATTTGTCTATGTGATTGGTGAATCATAGGAGCCAAGAAGTTGCAGAAAAATGTTACTGTACATTCCTTCCTGCCCACTCTTCTCTTTCCCCACAGCACATCTCTGACTTGGAGAAGGAATTTCCATAGACACTGCCCCAGCGGGATGATTTCTGGGTTTGTAGGTAAAGCCCAGAACTCAGGTATTACTGACCCTATTCTTTTTTCCACCCTTGGCTCACTGTTCCCCTGTTGGGCATATACCACTCTGCCTCTATGTGAGCTGGCACTGAGAATCCTTCCCGTCCCAGGGAGTTCTCAAGGATATTTATACTCTCCTTTCAAGATCTCTGCGTAATGAGAACTTCATAGTACGACTCAAAAGTCATGGAGGAACATTCTATTACATGCCTTGGAGGGCTGGCTATTACTTAGACAGGAACTATGTCAGATTTTCCCTCAATGCCTTGCAGATCTCCGCTGGTTTCCACTTGTCCAGGGCCTTAAACAAGTGATTGCATGTACACGTGCTTTCACTGGAGAATGAATTGCCCATAAAACAGTCCTGGAGTTGATCTGGTGTACTTGTTTATGAAGCTGGGATGGTCCATTGCTGACCAGGGGTAATCACAGCAGCTACAACTCTTACCACCAAAGCTATATTCATGCTGACATGAGGGCACATGCTTATTTTATTATCCATATGCTGATAATTTTCTGGGAAACAAATTATTCACAGAAAGCACTTGTAAGACAGAACCCACATCTGACATTTTCTGTGGTACAGCAGAGTCTCTCCTCACCGTCCCTGCTGGCAGGACATCTGGACTGAGTGCCTGCAGTTTTCCTGTACACAAACTGAGGGGTTCTGGATCTTCTATACTTTCTCTTCAAGGGTGGAACCAATGTTTAGAGGTTTCTGCTTTCTCTTAACTGTGCTGAAAATCCAATGTGTTACTCTTTAAAAGAGAAAAGCCCTTATCTGATACAATTAGAGAAGTGTTACTTCCCCTTAGTAGCAGTCCCAGTTGACCACCACCTTGAAGTGGAATTTCCTGATTTTTCTTAATACCTAATAACAAACAACTTTATTGAAGAAATAAGAGCTTTGGTTGTGTAATTTTTCAGGGAAAAAAAAAAAACTATGATGCAATCCCTTTGCATGGCTAAAGATAAATTTTTGGTCAAAACTTGGAAAAATCGTCAACATTTATAATATTGTTAAAGAGAAAGGAATTATAAGCTGCAAACAACTAATATAAAATGAACTTTTAAAAATGTAACCTAATTGCAAGTTGGGAGTGTTGCCAAATTGGACCATTAAGAGAGTTTTAGCTCTTACCCAGAACTGTGTTAAGGTAAAGAGCCTGAGGGGCATAATTTAGTTTGCCAAAGATCTTTTTAAGGTGTTAGTCTGAAGTAATTTCCAAACTACAGAGTAATTTAGATATTTATGATCAAATGGAATGAATGATTGTTTCAATAAGAATGTCCTTTACGGTTTTGAATACAATAATTCTAACCCAAATGAGGGTATGACCCAGTTGTAATGGGAAGGGAGGAACTTTTACAAATTACACAGACCCTGAGGATCCCTGTGTATACTGGGAAATGTTACTGGAGAATGTGTTGCCTAGGGAAGAAACAAAGTCAGGCTCCATTATTTTAGAGTGGAAAGGCAACCTCAAATGCCTCCAGTGGCCACGTGGGTGATGTATGTCCATGAAGCTGCCCTTTCAGGCTACTCTTTGTTTTCCTATTTTGATAGAGTCATGGATACAGAGAAATATTTCTCTTCAACGAGAGAAGTAAGAGGGGCAAGTATGATGATAAGCAGAGAGGGAACCAACTACAGAACAATATGGCAAAAGGAAGGCAAAGAGACTATTGAGGCAAGGGCCAGATCTTCCCATTTTTCAAGGGTATCCAGAAATCTCAAATTTTTTAAGAACCTGCAGACTTTTTGATACGCTTCATGGAACAAAACACTGCAAAGCAAACACAGTCCATCTACAGGCCCATTCCAACCCTCAGACTACCAATATTGGAACTTAGGTTTGAATGTCAGTGCTATTCATTATGAGAAATGTACTGCTAAACTTGTGTGCCCATGAAGCTATCACCGGATTTCATATGTTGCCTTATCCAATCATTGGCAGTCCTGTGCCAAAGCTTAACTGATAATGTGGAATACGCTACTGAACATCATGTTTACTGCTGACTAAACAAATTGCTATTGGAAAGCCTCTTCTCTCCATCTTCTGGGTATAACAGCATTGTGTAGTAGCCATTCTGGTCTTTTCTGCACCAGAAGGAATAGTAGAGTAAGAACTCAGGTCACGCTCCCATGGGAAATATTTCCCAGTGGGAAAATACTTTATAGACTTGTTGCTTCTAAGTTCAGTTGTCTCAGGGTCTGTAGACAGAAACTGAAATGCATAAAATTATTATTGTGTTTCTTGGTCTAAGCATTTTATTGTGGAAGATTCTAGAAAACATGCTGTAAGTTTAATTGTACTAAAGCCACATTTAAAGTCTGAAACATCTAAGTTATTCATTTTACTTGAAACATCCGTGTTTATGAGTTGTGGCTCTATAGCCCTTGTAAGCCATGTTCCCTTTTCCCTGAATTTGAAACTCCAATCTTTCCAAACATCCCTAGTGTGTATTAGCATTCCAGAGGCTGCCAGAAAGAAGCTGGGAGGAAGCCTAATGGCTAGATTTCTACTCAAGTACCTATTTTTTGAACAAGAAGACTATGCCTATGCCAACACACCACACAATAAAATAGGGGTTTGGTGCCAGTTTCTATTGATTTGGTCAGGATAGGCAGCCAAACTAGAAATTTCATGCCAGAAATATGAGTTGGTTTGGCTGACTTAGCCTGACTAAATTCACTGGATAATAATTAAATGTCACATCTGGTTGTGCTGTGTAGACATAACTATTACCTCCTCACTTCGGAATCTTTTCAGAAACTAGTGCTTTCTTCTTTTCTCATTCTAAGCGTGCATTCCCCCTCAATCACTTACTTCAGAAGAAATCTTTGGTGTCACCCCAGTTTTCTGGAAGTGGGGAGCACAACTTTTGACAGGTAATCTCTGTGGAGTTGGGCGTGATGTAAGTAAAAGAAGTGAGAGAGGAGTGTCAACACAAAAGTAAAAGCAACAGTGTCTGGGACCTATGGTAGGGCACGCTGGAGGCAGGATTATCAAATAGATGAAATTTCTCATTTAACATTCGTTCACTCTTTAACAGCTGTTTATTGTGCTCCTACTATGTCAGACACTGGGGATATGTGAACACAAAGGTATAGTTCCCAAGAAGATGTATGTTGGGTGCTGAGGAGTGAGCTTCCCTACATCCCTTAATTCACACAATGTATGTCAGCAAATTCCCATTCCAGTTCCAGCTAAAAGGAGATAAGACTCGTTCTCTGTACTCCCAGCAAGAGACAAGTTGATTTTTAAGAACATGATTTCAAATCTGGTTTTCCTGTCACAGCATCTTCATCCTAAAGTCAACTAGCCCAGAATTTTCCATCATAGGTACCGCCTCAGTCTCATTTACTTAATATTTTGTTTAAACCAACATACTCTTCTTCCACAGCCTACAATTGTTACCCAAAACGGAAACCTCCTATTACTTGTCATGTGAAGGAGATAAGTAACAATGTTATGAAATTGTAAACTGATACAATTGCCTAACAAAGGCTCTGGGAGCCTGTGACCCCACTCCCCAACTCTTGTAGTATTGTTAAATGGCCGGGTACTGTGGCTCACGCCTGTAATCCCAGCACTTTGGGAGACTAAGTCTGGCGGATCACTTGAGGTCATGTGTTCGAGACCAGCCTGGCCAACATGGTGAAACTCCATCTCTACTAAAAATACAAAAATTAGCTGGGAGTGGGGGCATGCGCCTGTAATCCTAGCTACTCGGGAGTCTGAGGCAGGAGAATCACTTCAACCCAGGAGGCTGAGGTTGCAGTGAGCCAAGATCATCCCACTGTACTCCAGCCTGGGCAACAGAGTGACACTCCATCTCAAAAAAAGAAATATAAATAAATAAATAAAGAGAGGGGATTAGTAAATGTTAACAAGGTGTTAAATACACATTAGCACCAAAATAAGCTTTGCCTTTCCTGTAATCCAAAGAATCAAAAGAGAATTGAAAAGAATGACTTCCTCACTGTGATTTTATATTAATTAAGGTAGGGTTTCCACACCACCAGGACACCTATCGCACTTTGGGAAGCACTGATCTGGTCCAACCATTCCTGCAGTGTCCCTTCCAAATGACTGTCCAG